ATAAACGTGGAAGAGAGAGAGAGAGAGAAAGAAAAAAAAACTAGCGAGTCAGCTTTCAGTCACGATTATACAACCTCAGGATTTTGCGCCAAAGAGATGAAGTCAATATTTAGTCATTGGATCAGGATATGAACCAGAAACTCGGGAGCCAGGATATATCATTAATTTTTTGGACGAGAATCTCTGAAAATATGGAATTACAGAATTGTTAGTGTCGGCACAAGGCATTTCTTCTCGAAGTGTGTGATATTATATATATCTGTCATTATTTTTCATCTTATACGTGTATCCTTGTAAAGATGAACCACTATTCACTAACAATTACAAGTGAAATTCCAAGACACGTGCGCCGCGTGACTCTAGACGGATGTACCTGTCATTAGTGTGTTTATCAGCTATCATTCATGCCTTCGTTATTTAAGCATGGAAAAAAATCATCTACATTTCGAAAAAAAATGTGTTTTTATGAATTAAAAGCTAATGTGAATGCAGAAATGTTAAATCATGAAGGTATAGATCTGCCCTAATCACACCACACGCACACGCACACGCACACGCACACGCACACGCACACGCACACGCACACGCACACGCACACGCACACGCACACACACGCACGGACGCACGCACGCTCGCTTATACGCATGCACGCACGCTCGCACGCACGCACGCACGCACGCACGGTCGCTCATACGCACGCACGCTCGCACGCACGCTCGCACACACACACACACACACACACACACACACACACACACACACACACACACACACACACACACACACACACACACACACACACACACACACACACACACACACACACACACACACACATATATTATTAATTATCCTTGTATGCATACATATTGATATTTTCAAATAATTAGTAAATTTAAACACTATATAGACGATAAATACTTAAACTTCCAAATACTATAGTTATCCCTATGAGACAGTGGACGTTTTCTTTATCACTGCCGCCCATATATCCGTGTTGTAAAAGCGATGTACCATTCTTCAAGATATATAAAATTGTACTTACTTTTTAAAATAATAAAGCATAAAATACATTAAAATAGACAGTGTTTGACCAAATATAACTTTATTTTTATCATGATTAGGTATGGATATATAAAAAAATGTATACTATACAACGCGGAAAATTAAGTATTTGTTATTGTCGGCCCCTTTTAGGTAAGGAAATTGTGTCTCACATATAATAGTTTAAAATGTAATATAAACAGAAAATAACAGCGAATGCACGCGTAACTAATAGATAAAGTGTTGTTTTATGTCCGTAACTGCTACAGATTCATATACTCTCACTTGAAAAGAATGTACATTCACGTGGTTGGAACACAGGGCGATGGAGTTACGTGTTTTTCGTGATATACGGGACCACGAATTTATTATCACGAATTTATTTACCTCAGCTGATATATCTTCATTACGACAGTCACTCTGCGCCACTCTTACTCAGCTGGTACTATTATGTTCGAGTTACACTATAACAAGTTAGCTGGCACCATTACTGTGTAGCTGGTTTTCGTACTGTATTTTAGGGATCAATTCTTTACATAGTTATGTAGTAAGTAACCTTTACATGGTTATTTAGCAAGTAAGTGCATTTTGATGATACTGATGAATTTGATACAAAGGCTGCCCTTTGGTGTATGCTGTCGGGATAGATCAACTTCATTCTGAGGAAGCGTGCATGGCATTGGCAGTAATAAGTGTGGTACATTGTTAAGTGCCTGTTGGTGCCCTGGTAAAAGCCAGTAAAAGCAGTACAAAGTGCCTTTTAATTTCAGGTATGAGATCAAACATAACTGTCTTTATCCAGACAGCACCACGAGTAGGGCATGTTGTCTGCACTTATTCTGATGTATTATAGCTAATTACTATTAAATAATGAGCTGGCCACAAGTTCTATCTTACCATATATTTGTGGTGGAGGAGGTTAGTTGGCTTTTACTGGGCTGCTGAAGGTGCAGAAGCCACTGCAATTGTGTAACTCAAACAAATTTGGTCTCGGGTTCAAGAATTACCCAAATGAGGAATCACTCTAAGCTCTATCTTACTAGACTATGTGTGGTGGAGTTTGTCTTGTTTTTGCTGAAGCACCTTACCTATGGAGGCTGCTTCAACCTCTTAAAGTTGTGCCAGTCATGGTGGCCTTCAGTTGATATCCAGCCAGCTATTTTGGAACTTGCATTTAACTCCCCTCAAAGGGATATTAGTGACTCTTTGTTTGGTATTATGGATAATTTATTATTTTTTTACACTATTTGTTGTTAGTATTTTGCCGTTAATATGGCAGATTTCATGCCCTTCCAAGCTAATGGGACTAGTATTGATGGTATGTGTTTTTTTCCAAGGACTAAAAATACTATCAGGCTGGTGATATCTCAAGCACTATTATATTTCTCCTTTCATTATCAGCCAAAGTGTTTTTGCTTACCAGAACTAATATCTGTTTTTTTATTTATCTTTACAGTTTTCTTAGAACAAACCATCATGGCTCAGTCAAATTTAAGAAATTACCTGCGTTCCCTTCGCTGGACCCCCTTACCAGTGGGTGTAGGTCTAGCTCTCATAGCCTTCCAGCAGTACAGACACACAAGGAAACGTGAGGCAGCTAAATTAGGGCAGGTGCAGCCATGTGATTGCTTAGCAGAGGAGTGGGAAGTGGCAGCATACAAGCTGTTGCCTCTCCGCTCTTTCTCCAGAGCATGGGGATGGGTGAATGGTAAGTTTGATTTGAATTTTGTGGATAGAAAGAATAAGTAGGCATTTCATGACTTTGATCTTTATTTTTTTATTATGGCCTTGCAAATGATAACTTTATAGATTTATATATATACATATGTATATATATATATGTATAGATAGATAGAAAGATAGATAGATAGATAGATAGATAGATAGATAGATATTAGTATTATTATTATTTTGTCAATTTATCATTGGGTTCTAGAAATATTAATGAGAATTTTGTTATCAGATGTTATTAAAGGTAAATTCATGGTTTATAGTTGTGGTAGAGTTGTAATAACCTTACAGGCTACATACAGACAGTAAAAAATTTATTACTATGCTTTTTCTCCACATTAATTTTTTTTTTTTTTTTTTCAGGGATTGAGCTTCCAGAATGGTCAAGAAAGTCTGTGCTTGGATGCTACGTTCGGGCATTTGGATGTAACATGGCAGAAGCTGAAGTAGAGGATTTGAATCAGTATGCTTGCCTCTCAGACCTATTTCGGCGGTCACTCAAAGAAGGGATTCGTCCCGTTGACCTCTCTGCAGAAGTAGTGAGCCCGGCAGACGGAACTGTGTTGTCATTTGGCACTGTAGATTGTGGATCCCTTGACCAGATAAAGGTGAGATAGTGGAATCATTATATTACTTTATTCATTCATTCATTTTCAATTTTCCTTTACCTACTTTATACAATTGTATATCGACCATTGTTAGTATTCTGCTGTGAATTTTGTGAGTTTTGTTGACTGCACCTGATTTCTGTATTACTTGAATTTGTGGAACAATGTGTTTTTTTTCTAATGCAATTATTATCAACCCTCTTACAATTACTAATTGTGTTTTCAGGGAGTGACATACCCATTAAGGAAGTTTCTTGGACCCAATTGCTGGACCAAAGGAGGACCAATGATAGTTGATAATAAAACTGATGATGGTTGTTTCCACCGGTCATGCTTGAATGACAACAACAACATGCTTTACCACTGCGTCATCTATTTAGCTCCTGGTGATTACCATCGCTTCCACTCCTCGGCAGACTGGCAAGTGCATTTCCGTAGACACTTCCCAGGAGAATTGCTCAGTGTTAATCCATCAATTGCCGCTTGGGTGAGAGATCTCTTTATTTTAAATGAAAGGGTAGCCTATGTAGGACACTGGAAACATGGCTTTTTCTCTATGACAGCTGTTGGTGCCACTAATGTTGGGTCTGTTAAGGTTTATTTTGATGATGAACTAAAAACAAATTTAAATAAATGGCAAAAAGATAACTTCTTTGATAAACATTTCAAAGGAAAGTCAATAGACCTAAGTCGAGGGGGCAACTTTGGGGAATTTAACTTAGGTTCTACTATTGTTCTTGTTTTTGAAGCCCCTAAAGACACAAAAATATGTGTAGAAGCAGGACAGAAGGTAAAAGTAGGGCAAGCTTTGTTTAGAATAATTAATTCTTATGTAGGGAAAGCTAGTTCTGAAATAAATCATCCAGGACCTCAGAGGTAAATATATTTGTGATAGCAAAGACAATGTATTTAAATATTTCTTATAAAGAAGTTATCATAATAAAAGATAATCAAGATATGTATAGTTTTCATACATTTTGTTGGATGTGAAAAGGGAATTCATTGTATAACTAGTATAACTACTTAAAAATGTATGGAAATTGTTTTGATGGAATGCTGTACTACCCATTGTAAATATTTGAGTTTATGGAAACTTTACTCTGATGGGACTATTGGATTGTGAAATATTTAGGCAGATTTCTCTTCTGTCAAGTTACAGAGAACAAAATTTCTGTACAGTTGCTTTATTTTCTATCACATTATTAACTCCCATACACTATAGAGGTGTTAATGAATGGAAGCCATATCAATCTGGTCAGCTACATTACCAATACATCGAAGGCAGCATTAGGTCGATGACAGTATTAAGATTGACTGGGAAAGTATTCAGAATGCAGGAATTTTTTAGTTTAGAAAAGTGGTGAGGTAATGTGTTTTTGCTTTGTACATTTATGTATTTTTCAAAAATTTAGTTTGTTATAATTCTTGTGTTAATAGAAAAATTATGCATTACACAATTTTTTTGTATAATAATTTTCTGAACATTATTTTATTATTATCATTACTATTACTGTTATCATTTGTATTATATTTGTTAGCATTATTATTGTTATTATACTATCATATTTATTGCTGTTACTACAAGCATCTCATAAATATTGTCATTGGTATTTTCAG